TGAGGAGGGGGTAGGGGATGTACTGATGGGGCTGGAGCAGGTTCTCACCATGAGGAGCGGGTAGGGGATGTATTGATGGGGCTGGAGCAGGTTCTCACCTTGAGGAGGGGGTAGGGGATGTACTGATGGGGCTGGAGCAGGGTTCTCACCATGAGGAGGGGGTAGGGGAGGTACTGATGGGGCTGGAGCAGATTCTCACTGTGAGGAGGGGGTATGGGGATGGGGGGTGAGGATGGCGCTGGGGGTCAGATTTCACTGTGGATATTGGTTCAAATTAATGATTTCCAACAGTTTCCTAGTGCGATGCTCTGAAAGGCCTAGAAGCCATGACATCCCATAGCAGTGAGCATGCACGGCAACCATTCTTGGTTCCCAAATGCCATTCTCCGCTGAAAGGCAGCAGGGCTCCATGAAGAATAGACTGAGAACAAAAACAGTGGTGCTAGTGGGGCAGAATACCTTGAATTGTTGAAAATCCATGAGTCCAGAGTGATGCTCAAGGGATGAAGGGAGGAAAGCTCTTTACAGTGTATGCCAGCTAAGAAACGAAAAAGGAATGATGAAATTAAAAATCACCATTTTGTAACTACCAACAAAATTATTGATTCAGGCACAGATCATGAAGAGGTGCTAAGAAAGAAAGAGATAAATTACAGATTAGCAATATCAGGAATGAATAAAGAATATCACTACAGATCTTACAGACGTTAAAATGGTAATGAGATGATGTTTACAACTTGATGCAAATATATTTGACAATTTAGATGTAATAGACCAAATTCTTGAAAAACATAGTTTACCAAAACTGATACTGGAAAAAATAGAAAATTTGAGTAGTCCTATATCAAATAAATCTAATCTAGTTCAAAACTTGAGTAGTTCAAAACTTCACCACAAAGAAACACCACTCCAGACATTTAAGGAAGAGATCGTAACAATCTCACACAGATTCTTCCAGAGAATATAAAAAGAAGGAGTACCTCCCACCTTGTTTTATTCAGCAAGTTTAAGCCTTGATGCCAAAACTTAAAAAGGACATTAGGAGAAAGGAGAATTAAAGTCTAGTATATCTCATGAACATAGATGCAAGAATACTAAACAAAATATTAGCAATCAAATCAGCTGACACAGTAAAGAATTGATGAAGAAAATGAGGAGACAAGCTCAGAGTGGAGCAAAGTATTTGTAAAAGACACATTTTATAAAGGACTGTTGTCCAAATATACACAGTTCTCTTAAAACTCAACAGTAAGGAAACAAACAACCTGATTTAAAAAACAGGCCAAAGACTTGAACAGACGCCTCACCAAAGAAGACGTACAGATGTCAAATAAGCAAATGAAAAGATGCTTCACGTGATATGTCATCAGGGAAATGCAAGTTAAAACAACAAAGAAATATCGTTACACACCTATTAGAATGGAAAAATCCAGACCACTGAAAACACCAAGGCCTGGTGAGGATGTGAAGCAGTAGGAACTCTCATACATTGCTTGTGGGAATGCAAAATGGTGCAGCCACTTTGGAAGACACTTTGGCAATTTCGTACAAGACAAAACCTACTCTTACCATGCAATCCAGCAGTCACACTCCTTGGCATTTACCCAAAGGTTTGAAAACTTAACGGCCACACAAAAACTTGCACGTGGATGTTTATAGAAGCTTTATTCATAATTGCCAAAACTTGGAAGCAATCGAAGTGTCCTTCATTAGGTGAATGGATAGATAAACTAGTCCATCCAGACAATGGAGCATTATTCAGTGATAAAAAGATATGAGTGGGCCAGCCCTGGTGGCCTAGTGGTTAAGTTCGGTGCACTCCACTTTGGCGGCCCAGGTTCGGTTCCTGGGCACAGACCTACACCACTCGTCTATCAGTGGCCGTGCTGTGAAGGTGGCTCACATACAAAATAGAGGAAGATTGGCACAGATGTTAGCTCAGGGAGAATCTTCCTCAACCAAAAAAAAAAAAAAAAAAGCTGTCAAACTATGAAAAGACATGGAGGAACCTTAAATGCATATGACTAAGTGAAAGAAGCCACTCTGAAAAGGCTACATACTGTATGATTCCAACTCTGACATTCTGGAAAAGGCAACACTTGGAGACACTAAAAAGACCAATGATTATGAGGAGGCAGTGATGAATGAGTGGAGCACAGAGGCTTTTTAGGGCAGTGAATCTACTCTGTATGATTCCGTAATGGTGGACGCATGTCATTATACATTTGTCAAGACTGGTAGAACGTACAACCCCGAGAGTGAACCCTAACGTAAACTGTGGACTTCAGGTGAAAATGACATGTAGGTTCATCAGTTGTGACAACTGGACACTGTGGTGGGGGGTGCTGATAATGGTGGAGGCTGTGCACATGTAGGGTTCAGGGGGTATATGGGAAATCTCTGTGCCTTCTGCTCAGTTTTGCAGTAAACCTAAAACTGCTCTAAAAAAAATAAAGTCTATTTCTTTAAAAAGTTAATGCACCACGATCAAGTGGAATTTATTTCAGGAATGCAAGGTTGATTTAATATTCAAAAATCAATCGTAATTCACCTCATTAACAGATTAGATAACAAAGACTATATAAGCATCTCAATATAAAAAGAAAAAAGCTATAAAATTCACCTTTTTCATGATAAAAAAACTCTTAGCAAACTACAAATAAAAAGTAACTTCCTTAATCTGATAAAGGATATTACTTAAAAAAGAAAACTACAGCAAGCATCATTTTTTAAAAAAAAAGTCTTATTGAGGTATGATTACTGTGTAATAAACTGCGTTTGGAGTATATAATTTTGTAACTTCTGGTATACGCCACATGCCCGTGAAACCATCACCAAAATCCAGATACAGAACCCCCACCACCCCTTACCGTCCCCAGGAGACCACTGATCTGTTTTGTGTTACTAGTAGATTCTTTTTCATTTTCTAGAACATTACATAAATGGAATTATGTAGTACAGCTTCTTTCTCTCAGCACAATTATTTTGAGATTCATCCATATTGTTGTTTTTATCAGTAGTTCATTCCTTTTATTGCTGAGTGATATTCCAGTGCATGGATGGACCATGGTTTGTTTATCCTTCACCTGTTGATGGACATTTGGGTAGTTCCCAGTTTCTGCCTATTAGAAATAAAGCTGCAGGGCCAGCCTGGTGGTGTAGCAGTTAAGGGCGCGCGCTCCACTGCGGCGGCCTGGGGTTCACGGGTTCGGATCCCAGGTGCGCACTGACGCACTGCTTGTCAAGCCATGCTGTGGCAGCGTCCCATGTAAAGTAGAGGAAGATGGGCACGGATGTTAGCCCAGGGCCAGTCTTCCCCAGCAAAAAGAGGAGGATTGGCAATGGATGTTAGCTCAGGGCTGATCTTCCTCACAAAAAAATAATTAAAAAAACTGCTGTGAACATTCATGGACTGGTCTATGTGTGGACATGTGCTTTCATTTCTCTTGGGTAAAGCCGGGAGTGCACTGTCTGGGTCATATGAGAGATGTGTGTTTAATTTTTTGAGAAACTGTTAAACTGTTTTCCGAAGTGGTTATACCGTTTCACATTCCCTCCAGCAGTGTATGTGAATTACAGTTGCTGCATGTCCTTGCTAACACTTGGTGTGGTCGGTCTTTTTCATTTTAGCCATTCTAATAGGTGTGTAGTGACATCTCCTTGTGTTTTTTTTTTTTTTTAAGATTTTTATTTATTTATTTTTCCCCCCAAAGCCCCAGTAGATAGTTGTATGTCATAGCTGCACATCCTTCTAGTTGCTGTACGTGGGACGCGGCCTCAGCATGGCCGGAGAAGCGGTGCGTCTGTGCGCGCCCGGGATCCGAACCCGGGCAGCCAGCAGCAGAGCATGCGCACTTAACCGCTAAGCCACGGGGCCGGCCCTCCTTGTGGTTTTGATGTGCGCTTCCCTCATGACGAGTGATGGTGAGCATGTCTTCATGTGCATATTTGCCCTCTCTGTATCTTCTTGGGGGAAGTAGCAGCTCCATCTTTTGCACATTTTTAAATTAGGTTGTTTTCATATAACTAAGTTTTGGGAGATTTAAAAATATAATTTGGGTAAAAATCCCTTATCAGATATGTTATTTGTAGACATTTTACCCTGTGGCTTGTCTTTTCAGTCTCTTAACCATGTCTTTCAAAGAACAAAAGTTCTTAATTTATTGAAGTCCAATTTATTAATTTAAAAAAAAATTGTGGATCATGCTTTTAGGGTTGTAGCTAAGAAATCTTTGCCTAACTCAAGGGCGCATTTTTCTCCTATGCTTACTCCTAGAAGTTTTATAATTCTTGGTTTTACATTTACACCTGTGATTCGTCTTTAGATAATTTTCATATATGATGCTAGCTGTGGATTGCAGCTCTTTTTGTTTCGCATATGGATGGTTGTTGTCAAAGACTGTCAGTTCCCACTGAGTCGTCTTCGCGTCTTTGTCAGCTGTCCGTATGTGTGCGGGTCTGTTTCTGGACTCCCCACTCTGCTCTGCAGACCGGTCTGTCGGTTTATTGCCGACACCCCACCACTGTGACCACCGCAGCTCTGTGGTAAGTCAGGCCGTGTTCGCTCTCCAATTGTGTTCTTCTGTCTCAAAGTCATTTTCATTATTCTAGACCCTTTGCATTTCTATGTGAATTTTAGAATCAGTTTGTCAATTTCTAGCCCCACCCCCCGGCCCTGAGCTGGAGAGCACGGCCAGGGCTCAAGACCTCGGTCCAGCCTAACCGGACGCGGAGGAAGCAGAAGAGCAATTAAAACAAGCACAAACTTGTGATCAAGATCTTGAGAGGATACTGTGTCTGAAATAAATGCCAGACTGGACAGAAGGAGCTGTCAGAGCACAGAACTCCTGTCGATAAAACCCATGATGGCAGAGGAAAAGTACAATAAAAGCCTTGGAAAATAAATTTGAAGATCTCTTCCAAAAAGTAGTACAAAACAAGGAGAAGGAAAATCAGAGAGAAAAGATAAAAAAAAAAAAAAAATTAGAGATCTGTCAAAAAGGCCCGGTACCCACATAATGCAAATTCCAGAAGGAAAGAACAGAGAACCTGGAAGGGAGGAAATTACCAAAGAATACATTAAGGGCCAGTTCCTGGGTGAGAGGGACATGGGAGCCAGGCTCTGCAGGTGTGCAGAATGTCCAGAGAGTGGACGGAGAGACCCACGCTGTGGCCAAGGAGAGCCCTCAAAACCTCAGAAAGAGCAGGGATCAGACGGTCTGGGGGCAGCGCCTGCCCAGGGCTCGGGGAAAGGTCTTTCACCCAGAAGTCTTGGCTCAGCCAAAACCCCAGGTGGAGTACAGACCTCACACCTGCACCATCTCCAGACACATTCCACGTGCCCTACCTGGGGAAGGTACTGTGGAGCTGCTGGACCACAGCCTGGACGTGGGGGGTGCAAGGCGACCTGGACGACGTTGGACAGGGGCCTGGGGGGCAGCCAGCGGCTGGGGGTGAGGGTGGTCTGTTTACTTCGTGGTGAGCATGGGGTGAAGTCAGCTCGGTCCTCAGGACAGGAATCTAAGGAACCAATAAAACCAGACAAGTGCTAACGCATGGGGAACAGGAGAGTGCGGCTTAGCCACCAGTAATGTTTGCACGGTTGTAGTATTATAAATGCTTGTACGAATTAACTGAGAACTCGGGTACTATTGTTTGGGGAGGATGAGGGAGGAGAGCCTTCAATGGTGAGGTGTCCATACGAAATACCTAAAGCTGAACAATCAAGATAGCATGATACAAGTAAACTGGGAAACACAGAGGCAAATACTAGACCATCACAAAACTGTCACGCAAGTGGCTGGTGCCAGGTGGGGTGGGGTGACATGCTTCTTTTTCTATAAGCCTTGTAGAATTACTTGACTTTTAAACTGTGCGTGTGTATGACTTTGATGAAAAATAAAAATCTTAAAACGTATTAACTTAAAGCAGCGCTGGCAGGAGCCGTATCTCTCGCCCCACAGACAGCACCCGAAGGTGACCTCCTTGAAGCTGGAGAAGCTGAGCCCCAAAGTGCTGAGTCGGCAGGTCCTGCGCCTGCGGGAGCGGTTTGGCCTGGACCCGGGTGAGTGAGGCTTCCACAGCCTGCAGGGGGGTGGGTGGGCCACCTGCACACGCCCAGGGATGCACAGGGCTGGTGCTGCCTAGGGTTCAGGCCAGTCAGGATCCACAGACCCCCTGCGTTGTCTTCCTATCTCCTGCCCTGCTCCCCCTCTGCAGCCGGCCCTGGGCCTGGGCACTGAGCAGCAATCGGGGTCTGCGAGCCCCTCTGCCCACCTGGGGTGGCTCCTGGGAGGCTGGGCCTGCGCTGTGCTTGTCCCCTGCCCCCTCCTCCTCCCCCTTGGTGATGTGATCATAGTCATCCTTGTCTTTCACTCTCTTCAAAGGAAAAGTCTTACTGATAAGGTTTTGTAGATTCACTTAATTAGGTTACGGAAATTCTACTCAATTCCTAGTTCACTGAGAGTGTTAATCAGAAGTGGATGTGGAATTTTATCAAATACTCTTTCTGCATCTATTGGGGTAACGATACGCTTTTTCCCTAGTGGTCTGTTAATGTGTTGGATTACATTAATTAACTTCATAATGTCAAACCAACTTTGCATTCCTATGCTAGCCCCCTCTTGGTCATGTTGCATTACCATTTATATACATTGCCAGGCCTGGTTTCCCAACTTTTTTTTAATTTAAGGATTTTTGCATCTGTGTTCACAACTGAAGTTGGACTCAGACTTTCTTTTCCTGAAATGTGGGTTTTTTCAGGGAATTTGTCTATTCCATTTACAGTTCCAAGTGTACTGTCAGGAGTTGTTCATAATACCCCCTTGCCATCTTTCAAATGTCTGCAGCATTCTGGATATAGTTATTTAAGCCCTCTCTTTTTTCTTTTTATTTCTCTTAAACAATCTCACTGAAAGTTTTAGCCTTTTGAAATAACTTTTGGCTTTTTTCCCCAGTTCTGTTGAGATATAATTGACATATGACGTTGTATTAGTTTTAGGCATACAACATAATGATTTGATGTATGTATATATTGCAAAATGAACACCACAAAAAATTTAGCTAACATCCATCACCTACGTAGTTACAATTTTTTTCTTATCATGAGAACTTCTAAGGACTGTATGATACAGTATTGTTAACTTTAGTCACCATGCTGTACATTACATCCCCAGAACTTGTTCATCTTATGACTGGAAGTTGGTACCGTCTGACCACCTTTATACATTTTGCCCACACCCCACCTCTGGCAGCTAACAATCTGTTCTCTGTATCTATGAATCAGTTCTTTTAGATTCCACATATAAGTGAGATCATATAGTATTTGTCTTCTCTGTCTGACTTATTTCACTTAGCATAATGCCCTCAAGCTCCATCCATGTTGTCACAAATGGCAGGATCCTTCTTTTTTCTGGCTGAATAATATTCCATTGTATATTTATACCACATCTTCTTTACTCATTCATCCGTCAGCGGACACTTAAGTTGTTTCCATGTCTTGGCTATTGTGAATAATGCCGAAGTGAACGTGGGGGTGCAGATATCTCTTGGGATAGTGATTTTGTTTCCTTTGGATGGATACCCAGAAGTGGGATTGCTGGATCATAGTTCTATTTTTAACTTTTTGAGGAACTTCCATACTGTTCTCCAAAGTGGCTGCACCAACTAACACTCCCACCAACAGTGCAAGAGGGTTCCCTTTTCTCCACATCTTTGCCAACACTTGTTATCTTGTCTTTTTTACAAGAGCCATTCTAACAGGTATGAGGCGACATCTCATTGTGGTTTTGATTTGCATTTCCCTGAGGATTAGTGATGTTGAGCACCTTTTCCTGTGCCCGTGGCCATCTGTATCTCTTCTTTGGAAAAATGTCTGTCCAGATCCTTTGTCCTCTTTTTTTTTTTTTTTCTGAGGAAGATTGGCTGTGAGCTAACATCCATGCCCATCTTCCTCCACTTTGTATGAGGGTCACCACCACAGCATGGCCTGACGAGTGGTGTGTCAGTCCATGCCCAGGATTCGAACTTGTGAACCCCAGGCCACCAAAGCAGAACGTGCGAACTCAACCACTATGCTACCGGGCTGGCCCCCCTTTGCGCATTTTTTATCGGGTTATTTGGGGTTTTTTGCTTCTGAGTTCTATGGGTTCCTTATATATTTTGGATATTAGCCCCTTATCCAATACATGGTTTGCAAATATTTTCTCCCACACTCTATGTTGCCCTTTCATTCTATTAATGGTTTCTTTGCTGAGCAGGAGATTTTAGTTGGACATCATCCCACTTGTTGATTTTTGCTTTTGTTGCCATGCTTTTGGCTTTTTTGATCCTATCTGTTGTATGTCCTCCTCAGCCCACTAAACTAAATTTTAAGCCTTCTTTCTTCTTAAATATATTCTCCAGGTTTCAATATTATTTTTATTATGGTTCAGCTCAAGATATTTTCTAATTTCTATTGTCATTTTTTTCTTTTGCCCATGGGCTAATTAGAAATGTGTTTCCTAATTTCTAAGCTGTGTGACATTTTTAGTTATCTTTCTGGTGTGGTCTCTTAATCTCATTGTGACCAGAGACCTGCTTTGTCTGACATCAGTCCTTTGATTGGGTTGAAATGTGTTGTTATGAAGAAATCTAACTTCTTATCTTTGAAAGCAATCTCTCTGAGCTGGCCCGGCGGTGCAGCAGTTAAGTGTGCGCACTCCTTTTCGGCGGCCCAGGGTTCACAGGTTCGGATCCTGGGCGTGCACTTACACACCGCTTGTCAAGCCATGCTGTGGCAGGTGTCTCATATAAAGTAGAGGAAGATGGGCACAGATGTTAGCCCAGGGCCAATCTTCCTCAGCAAAAAATGAGGAGGATTGGCAACAGATGTTAGCTCAGGGCTGATCTTCCTCACACACACAAAAAAAGAAAGCAATCTCTCTTTTTTCTCTGTCTACTTTTAGGATCTTCTCTTTGTTTTTGGCGTTCTACAGTTTCACTGTCAGGAGACTAGTTATAGATTTCTTTTTCTTTATCTTGCTTGGGATTTATTGGGCCTTTTGAATCTGTGGATTGGTGTCTTAAACCAGTTCTGGAAAATTTTCAGTCGTCATCTCTTCAGATATTGCCTCTTCCCCTTTCCTCCCTTGAGTCTCTTTCTAGGACTCTGAGTGAATCTGCTCTTCTCACTCTATCCTCCGTGGGTTTTAACTGCCTTATGTATTTTACATCCTTCCTCTTCTGTGTCATGCAGTGTGGGTAATCTCTTCTGCTCTCTTTTCCACTTCACTAATACTCTCTTCATCTGTGTCCAACATACTATGAATTCCATCCACTATTTATATTTTGATTGTTGTATTTTCAGCTCTAGAAGTTATAATTTGGTTCTTTTTCGGGTCTGCTATTTCACTCTTTATGGCTTCCTGTTGCCTGGAGTTATTTCTGATTGTGTCTTTTCTTTCTTTGAACATCCTGCTCATAGTTGCTTTGTGGTCTGTATCTACATTTCAGCCCGCTCTTTGCCTGCAGTCACCTGGTCTCTCCGCCTCACTCACTCGGAGGCTTAGTCGTCATCGCTGTTTGTGCCGATTCCCCAGCCCTTGGATGAGGGGGCCTGCCTCCAGGGAGGAGGACAACATTTGGAGCTTGTTGCAAAGATGGAGGCACAACATTGAGGGGTTTTGATTCACGATTTTAAGCAGCCCCTCTGGCAGCATTGGGTGCGTAGTTGGGAGAAACAGGAAGGGGTGTGCACGTCTGCAGACGGGCAGTGCGGGTCCATCAGGGTCAGCAGGAGCAAGGAGCTGCTGGCTGTGCTGACAGAGGAGACTCAACCTGAAGCATGTGAGCCAGGTCTGAGAGGACTGGCCGGGCAGTGGGACCCCTGAGGGACCAGGGGAAGCAGCTGCAGGAAGGAGCCACCCTGAGGCTACAGAATAAAACCAGACTCAGAAGCTCCAAGGAGGGTCCCAGCAGACTTCTGAGGGGCTGGGAAGACTGGAGTGTGGGACTGTGTCGCTGTGCTGAAAAACTGTCTCTGCTGACGCGAAAGGAGTAGGCCGGAGGGAGCAGGTCCCTCTCCCCTCTCAGGACCCCGCCCAGGCGCAGGCGCCTCTGAGGTCACCTGCACGCCTGCCCTGGACACCAGGTCAGGGATCCCTGTTGGCGTCACTGAGCAGGAGTGGGGGGTGGGGACGCCCAGGCCAGGCTGCCGGCAGCAGCAGCCTCCAGAGGCTCTCGGCACAGAATCACCCGTAGGGTTGATGGTGGCTGCTATCGAGGTGAGGGTTGTATCTGGCCCCCTGGCAGAGGCTCCTCCACGCAGGACCCAGGACCCTGAGGGGTGGGCGAGTGGGTGTGAGGCCCACAGAGCCAGGCGTGGTGGGAAGGCTGCGCGGGGGACCACAGCTGGGCCTGAGGGTGCAGCCTTCCTTCTGCAGCACCGCCCACCATTCTTTGACCGACAAGGGCTCCACTTCAGGGTCGGGTCATGGCCTTGGTAGGCCCAGGGTTTGGGGCCAGAGGAGCCTTTGGAGGCCTCGGACTGGCCTTAGCCCAGTGCGCCCCAGGACAGGTGTGCCCCCCTTGAGGGTCCACCCTGCCCACAGGTCTCGGCCAAGCCCGCTGCTGGAGCAAGTTGGGTGCCCAGACTCCCCTGGACAGCAGGGACGTCCTCTACCAACCGTGTGGAGGGCTTGGGGGTCTGGCGGACAAGAGGGGAGCAGCAGATGCTTCTGTGGGTGCCTCAGCCAGCAGCCCCGCTGGGGAGCAGGAGGCTGGCCTGCCAGGGAGACAGCTGCCTACCCGGGTCTCCCGCCACACGCATGCGCCACCGGGCCCCTCTTGTAGCTTCCCCAGCTGGCCCCAGGGGTCTCTCGCAGGGCTGCGCCTTCGCAGGAGACCTGGAATGTCCTAATCTGAGACAACACAGGTCAGCATTTCCAAAGTCCTAAAAACTGCCCACCCAGAGGGAGGGGCACCGGCACCCTCTGCAGTCCTCACTATGTGTGAGGCCTCCACGTGGACTGACCCTGTGTCCTCCGTGGGTGGACAGAGAACAGATGGAGAGCTGGGGGGTCCTGCTCGCCCCTGGCCCTGAGCTCCCCCAAGCCTGCCCCCAGACCTGGGTCTGGGTGGAGCCCAGGTGTCCCGGCACCGATGTGAGGCAGCAGGATGCGTGCAGACTGTGCTTGGATCTTGTGGCGTTTTCAGCATGTGTCAGGGGGTTGGGCCTGGCTTATCCACGCCCTTTCCTTTTTTCCTTTAAAGGTTTGCTTCCCGCAGCATGAAAAGGAGCGCTTGGATTTGGGTTAACCACTCAGTGCAGGCTGCAGCTTGAATCCCTTCTGTGGAAGTGACGCTGTATCCAGGAGGCTTTTGGTCAAAGTACCCCAGTGGCAAAATGATGCGTAAAATTGTAGAAATGTCAGGAAAGCTGGTTTCTGTCCGTCTGCAGATCTGAGTATGTGTCCACTTCGGCAAGAACATCGGTGGCCTTGGTCTCCTGTCCAGAGGGCTCCCTCTCTGAGCAATTCCTTCCTTTCTTGAGTTCATTCATTCATTATTCTGTCCCTGCCTCAGGCTTTGTCTATGTGCCACCTTTGTAGTGTTGTCCTGGGTTCCCAAGTGGCCTGCAGGGCACGTCCGCAGGGTCTGGAGCCCTTGGGGTCCTGCGTCCTCCCTCGGTGGGAGGCAGGGAGGGCACCGCCTTCCCTACCTGGCAAGCCCCGGCCTCTGGGCAGCACTGACCTCTGCTGTGCTGGGACGACATCCGTGCAACAAAGGTGCTCCCTGCTGCTGGCCGGGGGTGCTGGCTGGGGTGGCCACAGCCCTCGAGAGCATGGGGTCCCAGCCAAGGTCTAGGGAAGACCAGGCGCCCACTGAGAGGCGTAGGTGGGCGGAGCTCTGTGGTCAGCTTCCCACTCGGACCCGCCAGGCTGCAAGGACAGCTGACCCCATGAGGAAGGAGTGGCAGCCAGCAGGCTGGATAGGTGGGTGCCCTTCCTGGGCCCCCTCGGGCTCTGAACGGAATTGGAAGTGAGGCTGCGAGCAAGTATCAGATTGTAAACATGTGAACAGGATGGCCCTTCCTCAAGGAATTCACTCTCTAGAGGGAGAAGGACTTGTGTGTCTAGAAGGCCCTGGCCGGAGAAGAGGCGGGAAGGCCTGGAGAGATGGGGCTGCTGCCCTCAGGATGCCTGTGCAGAGGGAGGGGCTCCAGGAGACCCAAGAGAGGCTCAGCCAGGGTGGGACAGCATGGGGGGAGGGCTGTGGGGCCCAAGGTGCTGGTTAGAGGGGCTGGAGGAGGACTCTGGGGCTCTGCATGGGGCGGCGGCACCCACCTTTGGGGCTTGGAAGGACTCTGGGGCTTGGCATGGGCTGGGGGGCACCCACCTTCGGGGCTGGGGGTGCGGCTCTGATGTTGGGTGGAACCGAGCAGAGGCCAAGGCCACCTGAGGGGAGAGTGTGGGATGGAGGGGAGTGGGAAGACAGCAGAGCTACACGGCCCCTGACGTTCCCCGGCCCTGAGCCCAGCCTTCTCTTTCAGCCCTGTGTCCCAACGTTGTCGCCCAGCAGCGCCTGTCCGCCCTGCGGTACCTGTGCTACAAGCGGTTTGTGGAGGTGCGTGCCCCCCAGGAGCAGGCCTGAGCTTGGGCCTGTGCAGAGGGGGGCTCTGGGCGAGGCCTGCTCTCGAGCCTTTGCCATTGGTGCTAGAAAAGGTCACCTCGGTGTTGACTTTTGCAGGGAAACATGTCTCAGGAGAACTGGGCCGACCACGTGCAGGTGAGTTTGGAGAGGTCCTGGCAGTGCCCACCAGGCCTCCGGAAGCCCTGTGTGGTGTGGGCACTCAACTTTGAGGCCTGGGCAAGGCCTGGGTGGGCAAGTGCCCCCAAGAAAGCGTGTGGTGTATGGTTCACGTGTGCATGCGTGTGGCCCAGATGTGCAGGCCCAGACAGCTTTCAGGACAGCTCACGAGCCACTGGGTCAACTCCTCCCATGGCCCAGCAAGTCGGGGAGCAGAGGACGCGGAGAAAGGGCCCACCCCTCCCAGCAGAGATGCCACACCCTGAGGGGAAACCAGATGCGGGGCGTCAGGCCTTCCCACCCCTCTTGGAAGGTGGTGTGCAAGAGGCGAAGCTGAGGGGGTGGGCTTTGCATGAGGACCTCACCAGGTGAGGCAAGGCCTGAGCGGCCGGGATTCAGGACCCTCCTGCAGCTGTCCTGTCCAGAGCCCGCAGGTGATGGAAGAGGAGAGGTCTGCGGGAGGTTCCACAGTGTTCACCAAGGGAACACTCTAGACTGTCCTCGGGCCCCCTTGCTGATGGCTTTGTGCCCCCCAAAGCCCAATGAGGGTTGAGCCCCCAGGCCCCTAGAAAAGAGGCATCAGCGCCCTGGGGTCATGCAGGGGCATAGAGAGGGTTGGACTGCAAGGTCCACTCCCAGGCCTGGGGGCCAAAGATCCCATCAGGACAGCGGCCTGGACAGGACCGTCTGGCATCCTCTGTCCTTCAGACCTGAGCTGGAGGCGGGGGTCATCGTGGGCACAGAGCTCTCTCCTGACCCTGGGGGGTCATCATGGGTGCAGAGCTGTCCCCCGCCCCAGGGGAAACGGGCTTGGAGGAAGGTGGGGGTCTGTGGGGACCTGGGGGCAGCATGCACGAGAACTGTGGGCTGGTCAGTCAAGCTGGGAGCACCTCCTCCCTGGGCGGACAGTGCAGCATCTGGTGTCCTGAGTGGCATCCAGTGGGGGGCAGCACTGCGCCGCCCCTGGAGTGAAGGGGGTGGGGGGGTGGAGTGAGTCACCAGAGAGAAACGCGGACCCCCCGGGCAAGGCCCGGAAGGCCGATCCCCCCTGGGTGCCAAGGCCGAGCCGGCCGGAAGGGCAGCGGACATCCTGAAGAATGTGGAGGGGTTTCCACATATTGTCGTCCACGTGGGAACCCGCGGCCTGCGGGAAGCGGACGGCCTGCGGCTGCTGGAGGGACAGAGCTGTCTGGGGAGGTGGCCCTGCCCATCTGCCAGCAGCGGCTCCTCAGGGAGCACGGAGGCCTTGGGGGCTGGAGGTCAGGAGGGCGAGGGGCTCAGACTCCGGGCAGGGTGGGGTCCCATCCCCTCTCACCGAGCTATAATGATCTGTGAACTCAGGGACACAAGGACTCAGCCAGGACTGAGACCCTCCATCAGGACCCTGGTGGTGCAGGTGGCCAGGCCTCACCCAAGACTTCCTGAGGCGAGGGGTGGGAGGCCCTGTGGGCTGCGTGAGCCCCTCTGCTCCTGCACTGGGCATGGGTGTGGAGCCACCAGCCGGACAGGAGACAGCCTCGTGTTGCCCCATGGTCACTGCCTCCCCAAGGGCTACCCCCATAAGTCTACTGTCTGGACCGTGGGTGCAGGAGTGTCCCATGGCCTCACCTACTCCTGATGGCCGACCCAAGGGCTGGGGGCGAGGAGGTGTCAAGGGGGGAATGAGGGTAGAGTGGATGTTCTAGAAAGACAGTGCTGGTCTCAGGTCCAGGAGCAGGGGCGGCCCACGAGGAGGGGCTGTTGGCACATCCTGGCGAGAGCAGCAATGTGTGGTGGGGATGTGGAGAGGGGCCCAGCTGAGGGCAGGGAGTCGGGCTGGGCCGTGTGCTCAGGATGGCGTCCCTGCACCCTGACCACATCGAGGCCTCTCAGCATCTCAGTCTAAGCTGGCTTGGTCACTGCAGAGCCTCGGTCACAGGAGCTGCTCCCGGCTTTCAGGGGACAGCCTCCTCCTCCCAAAGGGCTCAGAGCCAGGTCTGATGGGTGAGGTGTGGGCCTGGGGGCTGCCAGGACTGTCCCACCCCCTCGGGGCAGAGCCAGGCAGTACAGCCCACGTCCTGTGCCCCCAGGATCTAGTGGGGCAGAGCGAGTGGCTGCAGGAGCAGCTGCTGAAGCTGCTGACCTCTCACAGTGATGCGGCCACAGCTGCCCGGTGCGCCCTGGACCTCTCGCTGCCCAAGGCACGGCTGCCGGCCACAGTGGCCGCAGAACTCAGCCGACTCAGGCTCCAGGGGAGGTGAGCACCCCCAGGCTCGGGGGGCCGCGAGGGGGACATGCCCCTGGGAAGCAACACCACGGGTCACAAATGCCAGCAGCTTAGGAATTAGAAAGTAAGAGAAAACCAAGAGTGGGCGCAGGCTCTCGTTCCCAGAACGCGAGTGTGCACGGAGCAGACTAGCCACCCCATCCATAGATCCGACAGGCACATCCCCCAGCCAGGCCGCACACCCCAGCAGCCTGAGGAACCACAGCTGGGGAGGGCAGAGGCGTGTGGCTGCAGGAGACAGGAGGGCAGACCCCGCAGACCCCTGCCCACACGTGGGCCAGGAGCACGCCCCTGCCCCTCTGGGTCAGCCCTGGCCCGGTCAGGCTGGAGGTGCTGGGGTGGAGTGGGGGCACCAGGGACCCAGGGCAGTGGTGGTGCCACAGCTCCACTCCTCCTAGGACGGCCGAGGCGCCTTCCGAGGACAGGAGGGACGATTACTACCAGCTGCCCATCGCCAGGGAGAACGTCCACTTCCTGGCCTCGTGGGAGGACCTGGCCAGGCACAAGGAGGAGCTGCTGCAGGTGGGTCGCCTGCTCTGGCTGTTCATCAGGCTTCTGGGTGCTCGGTCCACAGTGGCCCCCACCACGCCTGGCTCTCCATCCTCTCCCACCCCCAGGCGGCCCTGCAGAGCAGGGCACTCATGCCCTCCCCCTGTGCAGACCCGGGACTGAGGCGTGGGCTTCGGGCACCTGCCCCTGGGCGCTTAGCCTCCTCTCTGCGGAGCCCACAGGGATGATGAGGCCCTCCCAACACAGGCCGCCTCACCTGGACTCCAGTCTCAGTCTCAGCCATGCCCACTCATGCCAGCCCCTCTGTCTGCAGCCAGGCCTGGTCGGCGTGGACCTGGAGTGGAGGCCCTCTTTTGGCATGGGGGGCCGGCCCCAGGCGTCCCTCATGCAAGTGGCCATGGAGGGCCGCGTGTTCCTACTGGACCTGTTGGTGCTCTCGCAGCCGGCAGGAGGGCAGGCGTCCCAGGCCTTCTCCCAGCTGGTGTTCCAGCTGCTCTCAGACCCCTCTATCACCAAGCTGGGTGAGCACAGCCCCCAGCCCTGCACCCCAGCCCTGCCTGCCCTAGGGGAGGGTGCTGGGGTGAGGCCAGGGGCCCTTTCCTGGGTGCCTGTCACACTGGCAGCCCCCACTCCCAGGTTATGGGATGGCAGGGGACCTGCGGAGCCTGGGAGCCTCCTGCCCTGCCCTGGCCCACACGGAGAAGCATCTTCGGGGCAGCCTGGACCTGCAGCAGGTGCACAGGCAGGTCAGTGGGACAGGGGTGGGGACAAGGTCGGGGCCTCTGTGATCCCAGGGGGTTGCTCACTACTCCACCCACACAGCCGTGCCCGGGCAGGGGTCTTCCACCACACGCTGGTGGGGTGTCTGTGGGTCAGGACTTGCTCGTGGTTTCTCGGCAACTTTCAGGCTGGCCCCGGCCCTGCTCCCTGGCCACAGGTCACCAGGGCCCCAGAGCACCGGGTCCCCCAGAGAGGGAGTGTCTGCGCACAACCCCACACTTTCCCCAGAACCAGCTCCACTCTGGGCTCCTTTTCAAGGAGCTCTCGGCACACACCCTGAGGGGTTGACCCGTGCCTGCCTCGGCCGCCCATGCCCTTCTGCCCCAGCACTGGCTATCTTCCCTCCAGGGCTGGTCTCTCACCCCCAAGAGGCACTGTCTTGGCAGATGCGGGTGGTAGACGTGCCAGCCCCAGGCGTGGATGGGACCAAGGGGCTGAGGGGCCTCAGCCTCCTGGTGCAGCAGGTGCTGGGCAAGCCCCTGGACAAGAGGCAGCAGCTCTCCAACTGGGACCGGCGGCCGCTGAGTGAGGCGCAGCTGGCCTATGCAGGTGCGCACCCCCGACCTCCCTCCACAGCCCTACCCGCCTCCGCCCGCTGTGCTGGAGGCTGAGGCCAACCCCTGCCCACCCCAGCTGCCGATGCCTACTGCCTGTTGGAGGTGTACTGGACACTGTGCAGAGAGCCCTCCCGCTTCCACCTGTCCGGGGACCTGGCCAGGAGCCCGAGGCCACGGCACAGCAAGCAATCAGGGGCTCGGGAGCCGCCTGGCCCGCAGGAGGCCTCAGCCCCGCCCCAGCAGGTGGGTGAAGCCCCTCGGGGTCCCTTCCTCAGGATCCTTGGGGAGGAGGATCACTTTCCTTAAAGCAGGGACCTTACAGGGGTGGAGGCCTGGGGTGGTGGTCAGCAGCTTCCAGTGGGGCTTGAGATCCTCCATGATGGACCCTCCACCTGGAGAAAAGGAAAGCAGAGCCATGGGTTAGCTTCCTAGAGGAGAAGGGGTCCCAGCCCCCTCCTGACACCGGGCTGTATCCCCCTGTGCACCCCGTGGAGATTAATAACAGAAACCTCAACTACACTGGGTGGGGAAGGCCTGCAGGGGGAGCGCTCACCTCATCACGTGCCGTCAATTATGTCAAACAGGAAAAGACTGAGACTTGCATCTCGGACAGGAAGTAGAACTACTTACTACCGAGGGAAGACTTCTCTCTCCACCTGACAACAGCCCAGCCAATCAGAAACATTGCAGCTCAGCCAATGAGAAGCCGTTGCCACCCTGATCTGTTTCTCTCCGGCAATGGGCTTTCCTTTAGAGCAGCCCCTCCCTCTCCCCCTTTTTCTCTATAAAAGCAACTCCCTCCTTTGTTCTCCAGATTTGCCTGTGGTTTGCATTTGCACATCTTGAATAGCAATTCTTTGGGCTATTCCCAAATAAACTCATTTTCAGATAAAATAACAGGAGAATTTGCTTTTTGTTTTTTCTGAAGAAGATTCACCCCGATCTAACATCTGTTGCCAATCTTCCTTCCCTTTGCTTGAGGAAGATTTGCTCTGCACTAACATATGCACCAATCTTCCTCTATTTTGTACATGGGTTGCTGCCACAGCATGGCCACCGATGAGTGGTGTTGGTCCGCTCCCAGGAACCAAACCCAGGCCACTGAAGTGGAGCATCCCGAACTTATTCACTAGGCCACAGGGCCGGCCCCAGAATTTGCTTTTTAAGTTGACAGCCCTGGGCCCCTCGCCCCACTCCAGTGCACACACGAACCCCCAGGAAACGTGTGCAGGCCCCTCTTGGGGTCCAGGGTGGGTGATTTTATATCATTTTGCTTATCTGTTTTTTCTGCTGTTTTCTGAATTGAGTACATATTGCTCATGATTCTCTTTTTTTTTAACTTTTTAAATTGTTTTTTGTGTGTGTGAAATTTTTGTTGTACGTTATTGTTTATCAGTCACCATATAAGTGCATCCCTCCACCCCTTGTGCCCACTACCCACCCCCCTAGCCCCTGGTAACCACCAAAAAGTTCTCTCTGTCCATGTGTTGGTTTATCTTCCACATATGAGTGAAATCATGCACTGTTGGTCTTTCTCTTTCTGGCTTATTTCACTTAACATAATACCCTCCAGGTCCATCCATGTCGTTGCAAATGGGATGATTTTGTCTTTTTTTATGGCTGAGTAGTATTCCATGGTATATACATACCACATCTTCTTTATCCATCAGTCGAGGGACACAGGTTGCTTCCATGTCTTGGCTATAGTGAATAATGCTGCAATGAACATAGGGGTGCATAAGTGTCTTGGGATTGTTGATTTCAGGTTCGTTGAGTAAATATCCAGCAGTAGGATAGCTGGGTCATAAAGTATTTCTATTTTTAATTTTTTGAGGAATCTCCATACTGTTTTCCATAGAGGCTGCACCAGTTTTCATTCCCACCAGCAGTGGATTAGGGTTCCTTTTTCCCCACAGCCTCTCCAGCATTTGTTGCTTTTTGTCTTGGTGGTTATAGCCATTCTAACGGGTGTGAGGTGATATCTTAGTGTGGTTTTGATCTGCATTTCCCTGATGACTAGTGATGTTGAGCATCTTTTCATGTGCCTATTGGCCATCTATATATCTTCTTTGGAGAAGTGTCTGTTCATTTCCTCTGCCCATTTTTTGATTGGGTTGTTTGTTTTTTTGTTATTCAGTTGTGTGAGTTCTTTATATATTATGGAGATTAATCCCTTGTCAGATATGTGATTTGCAAATATTTTTTCCCAGCTGGTGGGTTCCCTATTCATTTTTTTTTAATTTTATTTATTTTTTTCCCCAAAGCCCCAGTAGATAGTTGTATGTCATAGCTGCACATCCTTCTCGTTGCTGTATGTGGGATGCGGCCTCAGCATGGCCAGAGAAGCGGTGCGTCAGTGCGCGCCCGGGATCCGAACCCGGGCCGCCAGCAGTGGAGCGCGCGCACTTAACCGCTAAGCCACGGGGCCAGCCCTCCCTATTCATTTTGATCCTGGTTTCATTTGCCTTGTAGAAGCTCTTTAATCTGAAGAAGTCCCACTTATTTATTTTTTCTTTTGTTTCTCTTGTCTGAGTAGACATGGAATTCAAAAAGATCCCTTTATGGCTGATAGCAAGTAGTGTACTACCTATATTTTCCTCCAGGAATGATTCTCTTTTTAAAATAAAAAAAAAAGAGCTGACTACCTGGGCCTCGGGTCCCCACTGAGTCCAGAGTGGGCCAGAGGGGGCTGTGGGCTTCTGAGCAGGGCTGTGTTGCAGGTGCCTGTGGCTGAGGGCGAGGATGCTGCCGCCAAGATCCAGGCCAGGGCCTTCCGCGTGGTGTGTGACAGCATGCTGCAGGGGCTAGCACGTAGCCTCCGCTGTCTGGGTGTGGATGTGCTCGTACTGGGCACCGGCGAGGACCACCGCAGGGCGGCCGAGGTGAGCGGGCCTGGGGCTCAGGGTCTTGCTGTCTCCCTGCCCGGCCATGTGTCCATTAGGAGCAGGGCTGTGTCTGTGGTTGTGGCAGAGGGCAGAGGGCAGGGCTTCCCTGGGTTGTCAGGGACAGTGTCGTCGAGGATGGGCTCGTTTACGGCTGCATGTCACCCGGGGTCTGCCAGCTGGAGCCCTTATGGCTCCTTTGGGGAGTGGGCTTGACACAGGAAGATCCTGGGTGGTCCCAGCCCCTCGTTGTTCTTTGGCCCCTGGAAATGCTGCGTCTGTAAGGCCCTTCCCTCCCAGAAGCCAAGGGGGGACGCCAGTCATCTGGGGTGCAGAGTGCTCCCCCTGCAGGAGGCTCTGCTCACACCCACCTGGGCCCACCTAGGGGGGCCCAGAGTCATGAAGAAACCCTGAGCAGGGCTCTCAGAATTTCAGGGGTCTGAACTTGGATGGCAAATGTTTTTCTTAACAGGTTTATTGAGATATAATTCATACCACACAACTCACCCATTAAATTCAGTGGCTTTTTGTACATTTGCAGAGTTGTGCAGCCGTCACCACAGTCAATTTTAGGACATTTTCATCTCCTGTTAAATGGTCCCTCCCCACGACCCCCTCCCCCAGCCCCTACCCATCTGGTTCCTGTCTCTGTGGATTTGCCTGTTGTGGACATTTCATACAAGTGGAATCCTACAACGTGTGCCCTTTGGGGCTGGCTTCTTTCACTTGGCACGGTAGTTTCCAGGTTCATCTATGTTGTAGCATCTGTTGGTGCTTCACTCCTTTTCATGACTAAGTATGTTCGGTTGTACGGATGGAGTACAGTGTATTGATCTGCTCTGCCGTCGATGGGCGCTTGGGCTGTTTCCACTTCTTGGCTGTTGTGAATCGTGCTGCTATGAAAGAGCACAGAGATGGCTATATCATAATTTTCATTTTTGGTGTATGGTTTCTTGTGTGCATTTAAAAACATTCTTCTGGGAAGGGGTCTCCAGGCTCACCAGAAAGCTGGCCGCTGCACAGAGCTGGTTAGGGGCCCTGGGACTGCAGAGCAGTAGGGTTTGTCTATCAGTAGGTGGCCATTCCCTGCACTCTGCATGGGCCCTGGCAAGGCCGGCCATGTGTGGTTCAGCTCTCCGGATCCTTCCAGCACACTCGGGGAAGGTATTCTTCGTGCCCCTCCGTCTCTGATGAGGAAGCTGAGGTGGGAGGAACAGAGGTCTGCCCAGTGCTGCCTGGCCCTAGTGTGGGGAGGCTGCAGGAGTGGGAGGCAGAGCCAGGGGAGAACGGGCCCTCCTGTGCTGGCCCCTGGCATTCATGAGCAAATGTCCACTCTTTCCCCATCCCTGGCCCCCCATGGGCCACCTCTCCCGGAGGCCTGGTCCCAGCGTCTAGGGAAGGAGGAGGTTGTGCCAAGGGTGGCCCTGGCTGCCATCCCTGTAGAAAACCCCTCTGTCCCCCAGCCAGGGTTGTTTCCAGCTTATCGGGGCTGGGACTGCAAGGGCCAGCCTTGCTTCTTGAGGCATCAGCAGTCAAGGGAGCCAGGAGCCAGGGAGGAGGTGCCTTTCCACTGGCCCCCGAGAGTGCAGGGGGTCTCCACCAAATGGGAGGCAGGGTTGGCCTCCCTGATCTGCGCCCCCACCCCCACGTTACACCTGTGAATTTTTACATTTTGTAGCAAAAGGGGTTTGCAGGTATAATTTACTAATCAGTTGACCTCAAAACAGAGAGATTATTTTGGATTTTTCTGGTGGGCCCAGTGTCATCACGGGAGCGCTTAAAGCAGAAACGGAAGGCGGAAGCCAGATTCAAAGCCCAGAAGGCTGGGGTGAGCCATGGTTGCTTGAAGGTGGAGGCCACACATCAAGGAGCTGGGGACCTCAGTCCTGCAGCCACAGGGGCCTGGGTCCTGCCAGCACCAAGGGAGCCTAGAGGCAGGTTCTTCTGCAGAGCCCAGCTGCCAGCACCCTGATTTCAGTGTGTGAGCCCCTCAGCAGGGAGCCCGCGGAGCCCACCTAGACTAGACTTCCACAGAGCTGTGTGTTGAGCTTCTGGGAACTTGCTATGTCAGCAGTGGAAGACAAACACAGATGCTGGTACCAGGGGTGGGGTGCTGCTGTGACAGGACCTAGCAATGTGGAAGTAGCTTTGAAATCGAGTAGTGGGTAGAGGCTAGAGAAGTTTTGAGGGTCACGATACAAAACGTCTGGATGGCCTTGAACAGACTGCTGGTAGAAATGAGGGCATTTAGGGCTGGGCTGCTGAGGGCTCAGGGAAGCAGGGAGCAGAGCGGAGAAAGCAGATCTGTCTGGGGAGCGCCTACAGAGCTGAGAGCAGACTGCTGGTAGAAATGTGGGCGTTGAGTAAGAAGGGGAAGCAGGGTCTAGGTCACTACAGCTGCCCCACTGGGGCTGGGATGTTTATTCCCAAGAACATGAAAACATCTCAGGTTGTCAGACCACAAGTGCCCCCAGTCCCCTCCCTGAGGAGCACAGGACGTGGGATTCATTGGTACTTATTCATGCCGTAAACCTGGAGAGGTACAGGCCGGATCCTGGCCCTCTGCGTGCTTGCCTGGTAGTTATGGACAAGTTTTACCCACAGGTTTTCCAAAATCCTTGTAAGTTGTTCCTATCTCCTAGGTCTTCTGATCCGAGGTCTTAGTGACTTCTGTGTTTTTCGTACTTGCTCTACAAAGCAGTAGGGCTCTATTTTCTCCTTCATTTGTTCTCTATAGCTTCAAGGGTTGTTTGCTCATGTGAACATTCTGGACAACTGGGCAAGAGTGTGTCTGCTCACTCACACCTGTGATGCTCTCACGCATGCAGGGGTAGCCTTTCCGGCATTTTCTGGAGAGAACAGCTTTAGCAAGGGCAGCTGTTGCATCCCTTTAGCTGTTTTAATTTTCTCTTCTACGGGTCTTCCCAAATCGCATGTTTCCGCATCAAACCTCTTGAGTCAATGAATTAGGCGTTTTGTATAAAAGGGTTGTACTCTGAGTTTCATTTTGTATACCTTTCCTGATGAGCACTATCAGTACACTTATAAGCATTTAAAGAAAAAGAGGGCAGCACTGCTGGTGAGGGCTCCAGGGATGCAGACCACCCCTCCTGGAGGAGGAGAAACCGCGCTGGCACTGTATCCTGCACTTGGGGGAGCAGGCCGTTCACGGATGAACTGGGGTATTCAGCTGCGAGACCTCCCAGCAGTGGCGAAGGTGCAGCCTGCGGTCTCCTTGCGGCTTGTTATCAAGTGTGAAGGGAGATCTGTCAAGCAAAAAGGAGTTGGAATGCGATGATTTGGGGAATTCTCAGCCTGTCCAGACGGCAAAAGATGCTAAAATTTGTGATCGCTTCCAAAAGTGTGGCTGAGAGGAGGCTAAGTGTGGCTACACGAGAGCAAAAGGTCAGAGGGCGTGGTCACAAGAGTAGGGTGGGCCTCGAGGAGCTCAACCAAGCCTGAGTCCTCAGCCACCTCTGCAGAAGCGAGAGTTAGAGAAGAAATTCCACCTGTGGTCGACGGCTCAGCCGTGCACACAGTGCTCCCGCTGACCGTGATCTCCCCGTGACGGCCTGCCGATGGACTTCAGGTGGGTCCAGGCAGCCCCACATTGTAAGCCAGTTCCTTGCAGTAAACCTCTTCATGTAACTCCCACTGGTTCTGCTTCTCTAGGCAACCGTGACTGATACAGACATTGGTACCAGAAGTGGTGCCACGGGAGAGTCTTCAGGATGAGTTCTCTGAATTGGTTCTGGGGTTTCTGGGCTGGGCCCCTAATCTGGTAAATTTAAAGGCCCTGTCTCCAGTGGTACAGAGGTCACTAGTAGCCCATGGTGTGATATGGCAAAAGTTACTCAAAACGATGCCATGGGATACCCCTAATCAAATCCCTGCAGAAGGAGAGATGCTGAGTGACCACGCATTTGCTACCTCAGGACTTTTTCGTAGCACTAATGAGTATGAGGGAACCGGCCGGCTGCTGTGACTGTGCTGGAGAAAGTGGAGAAGGAAGGCGTGAGGCCAGACTGCACGTTCCCAGCTCTCGCTCTGCATGAGGGTCCTGAAACTTCTGCGTCTGCCCCAAAAGAAGCCCTTGTCGCCTGCAGCCGCAGAGCTGAGATTGCTGAAAACCAAACCCAGCGTTTCATCCCATGAGCGGCTGAATGACAACACAAATTAAACTCACAGTTGTGTTGTCAGACTGTCCATTTTGCCAGTCTTGTTGGTATAAAATTATATTCCATGTATTTTAATTTACCTTTCTCTGATTATCAGTGAAGTTGAGCATCTTTTCACGTGTTCACTAGCTCCTTGTGCCTTCTGTTCTGTGAAGTGCCTTGTGCAGAAGAGAATTAATAGAGCAGGACAGGCACTGTCCTGAGAAAGGCCTGCTTGCAAGGCTGGTCCTTGGCTGGTGTCTGGAGCGTGGCTGGTAAACCGGTCCCTAGCAGGTACGAACCTTTCCCTAGTGGTGAAGGTGGCTCCCTGTGCCTAAACCATGCACACAGTGTGGTCTGTGTGGACCCCTGCTCTCCTTCTGGGAGTCTGCAGTTGGGCATATGCCAGGCAGATCCCCAGGACAGACCTCCAGTGCTGAGTCTCTGGAGGACAGCAGTCACTTCACACGTGTATTACAGCCAGCGAGGGAGCGATTCCACGCGCCCGAGTGACTCCACCGGGGCAGACGCCTCAAGCTCGCGCCTGGTGTCCTCTGCTCTTCGCCCACTGCCTTTCCCGGTGCTGGTGTCGCCTTGCATCCTTTCCCGGGATGCATCCTCACTGTGAGCAGGACTGTATGCCGAGTCCTTCTCGGGAGCCGAGGACCTGGGGGTGGTTGTGAGACCCTCAACCCGTCTGCTTGAGTTGTGCTGGTAGCTCTCTGTCTTAATCCCTCTATCTTCACCATTCCCCTTGACACCTGGTAGGGCAAGCCCCACCTTGTCCTCCTCCTCCCTTGGCCCTTTCTGTAAAGGTTTAGCAATGGCCCATCGGTGGGGCTT